CCCCAAAACCCCAAAACCCCAAAACCCCAAAACCCCTTTAGTTTACAAGACAACTGATAGTTTAAATTTTTAAAATAAATGAAGGGCTCCAAATTCAGTATCGAAGGAGAAAATGAAGAGGCTTTTAAAGTATTCGTCAGAGTTAGGCCTCTAATGCCCAGAGAAAGGTGCACAGAAGGTAGGAAAAATAATGGAAGCATTGTAAAAGTAATCGAGGAGAGTAAAAACTGCTCCAAACTCTACCTTTCAGACCCCGACATGGTATATGATTACGTTGGAAGGAGAGAAAGAGGGTATGAATTTGATACAATATTCGGACAAAGAGATAGTAACGAAACTGTATTTAAAAATACAGTAGAACCTCTATTACCAAGTATTTTGGAAGGTTATAATGCTACCTGATTTGCTTACGGTATGACAGGCTCAGGAAAAACCCATACAATGCTCGGGACAAGCACTACTCTAGATTCAATTAAATATGTCAACACTGCTGAGAAAGGTCTTTGCCTGCAGACTGTTGAGAAGCTGTTCCAGCTTATGCAAGAAACTAGAAATAAGCAATTCGCTATAAAAATATCATACCTTGAGATTTACAATGAGCAAGTTCGGGATTTGTTGGAAGATAAACAGACTCAATTAATGATCGTTGAAGATCCTGTCCGAGGAGTCTTTGTACCAGAATTGAGAGAAATAGAGGTCTCCCATCCCTCAGAACTGATAGAGCTGATTACTGATGGTAATAGGAGAAGGACTATGGCATCTACATCTGCAAACCAATTCTCCTCAAGGTCTCATGCAATACTTCAAATTTCCGTCCAGACTAGTGAAAGTACGTTAGGGATGGGAAACCAGGTATTTTATTCCAAACTTTCACTCATCGATCTCGCTGGAAGTGAGAGGGCAGCATCTACCTCTAACAGAGGTCAAAGAATGGTGGAAGGTGCCAACATCAACAGAAGTCTGCTCGCATTAGGAAACTGTATTAATATCCTAAGTGATAAGAACAAAACTGGATCGTTCGTGCCATACAGAGATTCTAAATTAACAAGGCTCTTGAAGGATTCTCTTGGTGGGAACACTAAAACATGTATGATTGCTTGTATCTCTCCATCCTATTTCTGCTACGAAGAGAGTACTAATACTCTTAAATATGCAGAAAGAGCCAGGAATATCAAGAAGAAAACAAAGAAGAACATTAAAGAGGTTGAACTCCACATGAGTAAATATAAAGAAATCATTGAAAATCTCAGAGGAGAAATCAGCACTCTGAGAAACCAATTGAAAGTTGAACATGATAAGAAGGTCATCAGGGATAAGCAAAAGACCAGAGATATCTTCCAACATCATGTGATCGACTCTAAGACAGAGAAAGAAGATGTGGTCGAGCTTTTGCAGGACTGTAGCACAGACCAAGCTAAAGCTGCAGGCCATACAAGTGTCGTACTTGACCAAGTCAACTGAATCTCTGAGTTATCTGCTCTTAATCAAGAAGGAGATTCCTTCTTGATGAATGATGACCTCAATGTAAATCTTGAAGAAGTCAAGAAGGAAAGAGATGAGCTTGAAGCTAAGCTAAAAAATGGAGATATCTCCATGTGTCAGGCAGAATCAAGCTATTTCGAACAAATCAGAGTCCAACTCTACTCAAATTTCGAAGAAGAATGGGATATTACTCATTCAATTGCTGAGATAAATGAACTTCAGAAGGAAAACAATGAGCGAATTCTCACTTTGGCTAACCAGATGGAGCAGCTCATTTCAAAGAAAGAGCGGACCAAATCAGAGGAAGAAAAGGTTAAGATCAGCGAACTTCTGAATGTTAAGCTCCAAGAAATTGAGAATCTTGAACTCGCAATGCAGGATAATGCTAACGTTCTAAAAGAGTGGTTAGAAGCCAAGAAGATCAACGAGGAAAATCGAAACAGGATCCAAGAGATGTTCTCCAACATTCAGAGTAACAAGAAGAAGGACATAATTGAGATGCAGATCATGATGAGGAGGCTCAAACTAGAGAAGGCTGATCTCCATCTCCAAAATCTCCAGATTAAGAAGGAGATTATTCTCTCGAAGAAACAGAATGAGACTAAGGAAAAATAAACTCCAACAGATGCATGCAGAGATTGAACAAATGAAATAAGGAACTTATGGCTAAAGATATGGAGCTTGAAAAGAGCAAGAAAATACTTTCTGAGAAGGACGAAGAACTCAGAAAGATGAAAAACATTTCTCATTACACGCCTCAGGACATAGTACAGATCTCAGGCGAAGAAAACCCTATTGAAATGCTGAAAGAGATAGCAGTGGATAATAGACTCTCCCCACAAATGCAATCTGAAAATAATTATGATAAGAAGGAAAACAAGACTGTTCTAAACCATCCATTCTATCAGAACTTATCTGTGAGCCAGAAGGAGAATCTCGAGAATATCGAAACCCCAGCTGAGCGAAAAGCAGCTGAGAGATATGAAAAGGAGCAAAATAGCTTCAATTCTCTGTCATCAGTAAGTGTTCATAATGAAGTATCTGCTGCTACTGATATGCAGTATGAGGAACTGTTTGATCCTAGCACTGGAGGGACCAAGAAAGTCAAAAAGTCTATAAATAGCAAAGGAGAAAGCTACTCTAGTAGAAGAGATACTCATAAAGCAAAGAAAATGATGGAAAAGAGCAGAGAGGACCAGAAAAATGAGATTCTGAGGCAAATAACACCAGTAAAGTTTAATAAGAACTATGATGCTGCAAAATCAACTAATGGTAAAGCAAACCCAATGTCTAGTAATCATGGATACTCTTGTCAGTTTGAGAAAAGGAAGAAATCTCGAGGCTATAAGGCACGGAACAGGGCTAAATTTATGGTGAATAACGCTGAGCATAATACTTTCTCATACAGATCCCAAAGTGTTTGTTCAAAGGTTCCTAAAAGCACTACCAGTAGGAAGAGTTCCTCCAGCAACCGAATGGTTGACTTAAAAGAAGTTAGGAATCATGAGAAACAGAAAAAGCAGGCAAGGATTGGTATCCATGGAACTCATTTGGATAAAATGATATCGAAGACTAATTTCAGTAAGATGAGTAAATAATTATGCGATAAACGTGTCAAACCTGAGGAATAAGGATGGGAGTAAATTAAATCTTTATTCACAAAGAGACTCAGGATTTGGAAACAAAACAGATAGAAATTACAATGATCTTTCACATAACTCAAAGACGTATAACTCAAGATATATGAACGAGGAAGAGCAACTCTCTGGTGGCAGCAAGTTAGATGAGGCTGATCCAAGAAGTAAGACTCATCAAAAGATTCCCAATGGAATTCTCCAACTCAGGAAGCAAATGTTGCTCCAGGAGTATAAGATTATTGAAGAGCAAAACCAAGAGCTACAAAATTTAGACTTATCACCAGAAACAAAGGATAAATATATGAAATTTTGTTATGACACTCCGAATGACATTGAACAAGAGGGAGGGATGGACAATATTCCTCGTGATTTTGAGATAAATGAGAATTATAGTTCTCCTAGATAATACATCTCTTCCTTAATAATGGCTTATAATTCAATATAATCTTTCTAAAACGGGGTTTTGGGGTTTTGGGGTTTTGGGGTTTTGGGGTTTTGGGG